GATTGCAATGCCAAGAGTAAGAGTGCCCTGTGGTCAAATAAGTTTAGGAAATAAGGCACATCCGCACTGCCTTCTCTGATATTCAAAATTCACATCTGCATAATAAAAAGACCTTTCATTCTGGCAGGACAAGTCACCCATTTAATTTTGTCTTGCCCCTCAAGTTCCAAAATGACTTGAGGGTAGATCACACTTTTTTTGATCTGGAACAAAACTTATGAACATCCAGCAGAGCCAGGCTCCCTTCCATCTTGGGTACCTTTGCTCTAAAATTAGTCTAAACCTCTCAACTAAGGAATGAAGAAAATACGCTTTTAGAGAGTAACTTCCCAAAGTCTGTCAACTAGTTAGGAGGGCCAAGCTTGGAACATGGGTCTGCGTAGGTGTCTGCTTACACAATTCTGTTAACTCATTTCTACCAGCCCTTCCTTGCCCCCAAGCCCTAATCAAATAGCATCTTGTCAATCCTCTCATTGCTGTGCTTCCTCAGGATTCCCTCTCCTTAGACTGCTCTCCCCAGCGCCCACTCCCTATCTATCTAAATTTCTTCAACCTTCTAGACCCCATCTCCACCAAGAAGCCTTCTCGAACACGTCAGCCTATCTCACTACTCCTTCTCTGAAGGCTCACTGCACTTAGTTGGTATTAGACATTCGAGCGCCTGCTTCACCAAAATTATTTTATAAGTGCTGGACTTAATTTATCAACTATATACTCCTTCAAGACGCTACATATATTTTAGGTTTCTTTCCACTCTTTCTAGGCACTCCATAGATATTTGCTGATACAAGGAACATGACTAATGTTTTAAACAAGTGAAATATGTGAGATTTGACCATAGTAAATTACAGTATCTCTTAAGTACATCAAATTCTGCACAGCCTATTTACGTTACCGATGTGTAGGTAAGCCCTGAAACAACTAGGAAATGAAGACCACATGAAAGTCTTGGTCTGATCCTCTAACCACCAGAAATAAGTCTTCCTTCATTTTCACAAGCCTGCAAAACTCCAACTGGCTTCCTGTCTGCTAATCCCACCGACTTCATCTCTGCTTCCCTTGGTCAGTTTTACAGAAAGAGACTGCCCTTAAAACCCAATGCATAACAGGGAGGGGAAATGATGGATTTGCAAAGTGAAATTTTCAGCCATGGTGTTCGTGTGGCTTCTTAATCAAGACTACACAGAAAGAAACCCAAATAAGAACAGAAAGGCAGTATTATCTGGCACATCACGGTACAGACAGTACTAGAACCCCAACATTTCCATTTAGATTTCATTGGCTGGAAGCCATTTAAAAAAGAAATGAGGCTTGGTATCTGGGGATATTCGCTCTCAACCTATCACTCAAAGAATATTCAAATAAACAATATCATATCCAAATGGTAATCCTGCTTCTCAAACGCATAATGAAAAGAACACCATGTTCAACTTTAGCCTCCTCACCTACCCTCTTTATCTTCTATCATGAGACTCTTCACAATCATATACTTGAACTTCAGGGCACAATTACTCACAACAAGTGTCCCTGCAGAATATGAAACCACCTCAAGCCAGTTTCACTGCCTATAAAGTGTGGGACTTCTCAAACTACTCCTATAGCTTTCATCATCTTAAATAAAAATCGGACGATAGTGAAAAATAATGAACTTAAAAATGCAGGTTCTCATTAGGCAAGTTTCTTGCTTTTACTCCAGTATCAGTAAAACCATAGTTGAACTGGAACAGTTTTTATCAGCACACCTCATCATGACTTAGGAGCCTCTTCTTTTTTTAAAAGGGAAGTCAAAATCAGCTACTCAGGACAAAATCATGGAGTCAAATAAACCCGTTAACATTCTAAGTACGCACCTCCACAGTTTGCTGGCTAGTACTCTGAGCCAGCATAAGCTCCAAGCCTAGCTGTGCAAGCCAAGATTTCTAGTTTCTTATCACATCATACTAGCAGCAGCCCTGGTGGATATGTGGTGACAACTTATTTCATTTCTAAACACAAGGCACAAAAACGTATTAGGTACTTATGGTAACTCTTGGCATCTATAATAATTCCTAACATTTACAAGCACTCCATTAACATGTATTTCTGTCCAAGTTCATAGTTTACTTGCCTATTTCCCAATAAATCCTCATATTTCGTGGTGATAGTTCAGTAAATCTTGTAAACTGATAACAGTGAGACACCAGAGGTTTTAATAGTCACTACACACGTATGTCTGACCATCCAACAGGCACACAAATGTGATAAGCAGCAAACGGATCCAACTTTTCCCACAGAACCAGACATATATGATGATTTTTATTCCCCACTGCATGTTTTTAATATGAAAAGTTTATTTATAGCTTTCCTACAAAAACCAGGCCTCTTAAAATGTGATTAGTGACAGGACAGTTGAGAATATTAGAAGACTGTTGTTAATTTATTTAGGTGTGATAATGGAACTGTAGAGTTTCTGGTGGGTTTTCTTTTTGAGTCATTACCACTTAAGAGATACATACAGAAATATTTACTTATTTCTCATATCCCATCTGGGAGCAGGGAGCAGATGGGATACAGATGAGACATGAGTTGGTAGTTGTTGAACCTGGGTGTTGGGAATATTAGAGTTTATTATACTGTTCTCTCTACTTTTGTATATGTTTAAATTTTTCTGTAAAGTTTTAAGGGAACTTTTTAAAAAGACCTTTTAAACCTACATACAGATATGTAGACGATATTTAAATATGAAGGTAGCACAGCATTCAGCTAACCAAAGTAACCTGGGCTTTGAATCTGGACAAGCAGCAGAAAAAATAACCACATCAAGGAAAGGAATGTTAATTAATGCTACACTCTGAACTTGATCTTCTCTAAAAATTAAGTTTTTTAAAACTCCAAAGAAACCAGAATGGGCACATTTTCTCTCAAAACCTAAATGGATAGACGTATACATCTCAAGCCCAGTCAAATATCTGTTAAACAAAGTAGAAACAATAAAAAAAAAAAAACTGCATAAGTCATTATCTACCTTTACTTGGCCTTCAAAAATGTTCATGGGAAAATGCAGGCCCCTCTTAACTTACTTACTGTGAGGGGCCACACAGCAACCCAGAATAACCATGCAGAAAGCAGAACCACTTGTAACCAGCTCTTACAAATAATGTCCTAAATCAACCACAGATAGCAATGGTGAACCAAATTCTAGGCAGCATTTCCTATTAGAATACATGCTGCCATTTCAATTACTACTTCAAAGCAAGAGAGAGGTCACACTGGACAGTACCCTCCCACCTTGGCAAAGTTAAAGCCACAGTTAGAATTATCCTAATAAGTGGTGAGCTTCAACACTCAAAATAATTGTGTAAGATCCATTTTAGCCAATAATCACAAGTTCCAGAACCAAAGGACAACTGATTCAATCTCTAACATCAAAATCTATGGCCACCAATACCACCACCACCAACCTCCTTTCCTCCCCAACCACTGGGCACCATCCTCCACCACCACCACCACCACCCCAACCAAAAAGCAGTTCAAAGAGAAAAGAAGAGCCCTGACAGGAAGGCTTCCTTTTTAAAAATATTTAGACCTGACACCCAAACACACACACAGAACCAGCAATCTAAACCTGTACAGTTACTGCATGTGAGATTTAAGCTGTCATTAACAAAGCTTCCATCTGATCATCTCAAACAATACCATAATAACAGCAAAAAAACCAAAGCGAAAGGGAAAAGTTTCCTTCAGGAACCTCAAACCATCACATCAGGTGCATGAAATACTAGAAACCAACTCCTATCTGGGTTTTGTGCTTAAGAAAGCGGGACCAACTCTGCAGAATCTCAAAGCCTTCTGTGTGTGTGGTGTGTTGGGGGTGGGGACGGGGAGGTGGGGGGGAAGAAAGGGGGTTACATCTGTAGAGGCCAGTGACTGATGCCAGCACCAAATCTGATCCCTCCAGGTAAAGATAGTTTACCCCAGGCCCCTGGACAATCTCTGTCTACCCCCCCCCCCAGGAGCCGGTAGCTGGCAGGAAAATGTGCATTTGGAAATGAACGCTGCAGGTGCCCAAGGAATAAAGAAAGACACATACACACACACACATACACACACACACACACACAAAGCCAATCAGAAAGAAAAAGAAAAGAAAACAAAAAAAGGAAAGGGAGAGGGACAATTCAGTGACAAGCCCTTCAGATACCAGCTAGGATTTTATTCCTTCCTCCCACCAGTCTTCCCTGGTGTACCTTTTTCCGTCCTTTAACCAAACTGCTCGTGTACACACACACACACACACACACACACACACAAATGTTCCTATGTGTATAGATATTATAATTAACCCTTTCTGTAATAGCCCCACATAGAATACAGGGAGAGATTCCATCCTTTCCTCTCTTCTCTCCCCTCCTCCCTCCTTTCTCCCAACCGAGAGAAAACGCCCCCTTCCCCAGCTTCACCAAAAAAAAAAAAAAAAAAAAAGGCAGGGAAGGGGGGGCAAAGACAAAACCCCATCAGTCTCCAGTCCCGAGGACACCCAGAACCAGGAAAGGTATATACTATACAGACACACACACACGGACATATGGTTCTGGAGAAAGCACACAGAGAACGGTCCACAGGCGCCCCAAACCCAGCAAAGAGACTTCCACCAGCCAAGAAGCCATGATTGGGGAGGGAGAGGAGGAAGGAGTAGGGGCAGAGCTATCCGTGGAGGGGGGCGCATTGTTGTGATGCCTGAACCCCTTTCTCCCTGCCCATCTGCTGAGGAAGGGGTGCAGGGAGGGGGCGCAGGCGAAAGGCGAGCGAGAACGAGGAAACGAGGAGACCAGGCACGGCTTTGCGATTCCCTCCTGCTGCCTGTCTGCCCGCGCCCCCAGCTCTCCCCCCAACAATAAGACCTCAGCCTAGACAGACAGACAGCCAGACAGACCGGAGCGCGGCGGGGGAGGTAGCGGAGCCGGGCGCAGCCGAGTGGGGTCGTGCATAAAGGGAAACCGGGGGGAGGGGGTCCCCCTTACCTCCAGCGCTTCAAAAGTGACAAAGCTGGTCATGGCAAATCCATCAATGATGTCCTCTTCGGCAGAGGTGGACTCTCTCCGCTTCCTCCGCGGGGGTCTGGGCCGGGACGGGGCGGAGGACGGGGGCTTCCCATTGTCTTCCTTGTCGGAGCCCGACGACGAGGCGAGCGAGGGCGCCCGGGTCCGGCCGGCCCCGCCGCCGCCGGCCGCGCCGGCCCCCAGCCCGCCCCGGGAGCGCCTCTCCCGGTCTCGCTGCGACCGCGACCGCCGCTTTTTGCGGAGTCCATGGCCCCGCGTCGGGCCATCCATGGCTCTGCCGCGCCGGGGTCTCCCCGCTCGCCGCCCGCCCGCCCGCCACAGGCTCCGGCCGCGGCCACACAAAAAAATTGACACCAACCCCTCCCTCCCCCTCCTCGGCTTCCCTCCGCCCCGTGGAGGGCGCGGGGGAGACGGCGGCCGAAAGAAGGGAGAGAGGGGAAGAAAGAGAGGAGAAAGAGAAGGGGGAAGGGGCGGAGAGAGGGAGGAGGGACGGGAGCGAGGGCGAGAGGCGAGGAGCCCAAGTGCGGGGCTCCCCACAGCACCGCGGGTCGGAGATTCCTGTGAGCAGCGCCGAGCAAAGTAATGGCTGAACACACAGGTCTCCTTTAGAGGCAAAAAAAATAACTCACCAAGCAGGCAATAAATCAGAATAGCGGAATGCTTTGATCAAGAGACTGGGAGGCTCCGGGGAGCCCTCCCCGCGGCCATTCTCCGCCGCGCCCCCCGCCCCCCGAAAAACGCCGGCCCCCCGATTCGAAACCGGGTCCGAAAAGGTCGCGGGAAAGTGGGGGCAATGAACTTCACCCGCCCCTCGCGCAGGAAAACACCCCCGCCGCCTCTCACACACGCCTCAGAGAAAACTCACTCCCAGGCTCCAAAATTTTTAAGAAATGCATCCAAGGGAGGCCAAGGCTTCCGAGCGACCTGAGAGGGACGAGACCCCCCAGAGAGGGAAGCATAATAATGAAATAATTGGGAGGGAAGAGGGCGAAACTGGAAGAGGTGGAGGAGAAGGGAGGTGGAGGAAGGGAAGGAGGATGCTGGAGCAGTTGTGGGGCTCGCTTTTCGGTCCTGGAGGGGGGAGGAGAGGAGATGAAAGAAGAGAAGAAGCAGACCCTGACGCTGCCACCCACCCCCCACCCCTCAAAAAAAATTTTTTTCCAGTCCCAGAGAAGAGGTCACCCTTCCTCAAAAAAGGGAGGGGGTGAGTCAGTCGACGAGGAAAGCAGAAAGAAATCTCCAGCGGGAGAGACACCGATGTGCCGCCGCCGCCGCTGCCTCTTCTCTTCGCCCAGCCCGAGGGAGAAGCGCGGCCAGGAAGCGCCGGGAACGCCGCTGTCGCCGCCGCCGCTAACGCTACCGCCGCCGCCGCCGCGAGAGCCCCGAGCCGGAGGGTGCACGGCGTGTCCCCGGGCGGCTGCAGCGGGAGCCCGGGCACGGCCCCATCCTCCGCCCGCCCGCCTCGCTCAGCTCCCGCTCCTCCCCCTCCGCGGCCGGCCCACCGCCGCCGCCGCCCGCCTCAGCCCAGCCCCGCGCCCGCCCGCACGCGCGCGCGCGCGCACGCGCCCCCGCCCTCCCCGCGCCTCGCTCGGCGCGCGCTCCCGCCCCCGCGGCCCCGGTCGGCTGGATCACGTGGCCCGCTAGGCTCCCTCCGCCCCCGCCCCCTCCCCAGTTGTAGAGTGTGTAGAAAGCAAAAGGCTGGGGGCTGGCCGCGCTCGCGAGCCCAGGGCATGCGCGCTGGGGCGGTCGGGCCTGCGCACTGGGGGCGGAGGGGAGCCGGGAGTGGGGAGCGGGGGCGTGCAGGGGGCTGCCAGCGTGGGGTCGGCTGCGGCCCGGCGGAGTTGGCGCGCGAGGGTGTGGAAGCCGCGGAAATAATCCCGCCGGTCGCACCGGGGTCGCGTGCGGGCCACGGTCCCCTGTCTACTCCGCTCTCCCAGCTTCGCGCCCCCCGCAGCCTCTTTGGGACACTTGTCCCTCGACCCCCTACACCAGGCCTGCCAGAGGCGCCGGAGCAGCCTGCTCGGGAGGCTCCCAGAGTATTTATCCTGGGCGACCTGCGCAGCGAGGGAAGGAGGGATTTCTGAGAAGGGACACAAGGGGGGGGCTTCCCTGGGAGGGGGACGCGACTGCAGGCGACAGAAAAGGAAGAGGGTGCCAGAGGGCGGGCCTCTGCTCTGCTGGGGGACACTGAGAGGCTCCACGGCCGGAGTTGGAAACTTTACTCCCACGTGGTAGCACAACGCGTGACCGAGTGACCCCGCGCCCGTATGACCTCTGGGCCCTCCTCGCCTTCCAGCGGGGGCCCCTGGGACGCGCGGGCGGCCTCGGAGCGGGAAGCGCAAGGCTGTGCGCGGGGGGCCGAACTTGAACCTCGGCAGCCGCGGCGGGCAAGGGGGCGGGGCTGTAGGGGCCGGGACCGCCCCAGCCCGAAGACGGTTGGACCCGCAAAACTCTGTCCGTACCTCAGCCGGCCTCCTTTATTGGGGGGCCCAGGGGGTTCCCCGCTTTTCCTATCACTGCACCTCCTGCCGCCGCAAAGTAACTGATGCTTATAAAAAGTTGTATTGAAGAGTTGACTGCAGCCCAGAATCGATCAACAAGAGACCAGCCTCTCTAGGTAAAATAGCTGTGCGTTTTTCGGGGCACTGGAATTGCTCTGTCGGGATCAGAAAGACGCCGACAACCCTTTCTCACCAGCCTGTTAGCTACCCACTTCACTTTGTGTCTGGTACATAAAGTACTGTGGCACATCACCCCTTATCCCCAGGAGCCTACACTTGGGGAGGAAGAAAAGGAAATGAACTGATACTGTTAAATTGCTCACAATGGGTCGGGTGCCGTACTAGACTACGCTTTCTACACCCTTTCTCCTTTTTACTAAATCTACACGTTTTAGTACTACTGGAAGGAGGTGGTAAAGAAAAGGGCACGATAACCTGACATACCCAAGATTGGTTGATTCATTAATTCATTTCTTCACGTAACGATTATCAGGGCCTGCGGTGTACAAGGCAGTTCTACGTGCTGGGAATTCAGTGGTACACAAAACAGAGAAGGTCCTTCCTTCTTGGGTTGTAGCAAGCAAGTCTCGCTTATGCACTCTCTGGCCATTTAATGGTCATTCCCTTAAGTCACACTCCTTCAGCATCCCCTTTTCTGGATCTTTATGAAATCAAGGTTGGGGGCAGGCAGGATGGGAGGATGGTGGGAAACAAGTTCCAAGAGCAGAGAGGAGCAACCACTGAACTGTGAATAAGACAGGCTTTCTGCCTTCCCAGGGAACAGACCCTTTGACCTTAGGCAAGACTCTTAAATGACTAGTTTTCTCATCTGTAAATCAAAGAGTTTCAATTAAATGTTCAAAAAGTTCCCTTTCAGGTCCACACTGGCCTGCTCAAAGGATATCTTTTCAAGTAGACCGTGTGCTTTATTTCTTGAGAAAAGTGACCAATATAAGGGATCTGATTCAATTTATTAAGAACATGGTGCCACCTTCCAAAATTACCTCCCTAGCGTAACTGAGCTTGCTGCCCGTGGAGCAATTAGCTAAAACAGTGCCTCTGTACAGAGTGTAACTTTTGTGTTAACCTCTAGGATGCTGTCCCAGCAGCTCCTGAAATCCACACTAAGTTTATCAAGTTCACGCCTACCAAAAAAAGGCAAGTTCTTTGTCATTTAAAGGAAGGACATGGGTTCATTTTTGGGGTTTTTAGGAATGTGAAAGGTGTTTAGACACTGATAAGTTTCTGTGAAAACTAAGAACTTGCAGTTACAGTCACTTTTCACAACTTTAGGGGTTAGGTTGAGGAAGGTGTGAAATTGGCAAATATAATAAAAAGTATAATATTAGTGACTTTCCAGAGTAGCCCTTGGCAGTCCTGTCTTTAAAGAGTAATGTCTGGTAGGAAAAAAAAAATGGATGGTAATGCACTGCATCCAAGAACCTTGCCTCTGGCAAGAGTAATTTGCAAATGCATTTTGGGATAATGTTTAAATGATTTTTTTTCAGGGTCCAAGTGCAATGCTCACTGGAATTGGTAATGCCTTTTGGGTCAGAGTTTCAATTTTCTTCCATCAGAGAATTAAAATTGTGTATTATGTTGCCCATATCTATTTCTAATTCTCCATATCATCTATGTTGTAAGAGCAACATGATTAATGTTGTAATGATTAATAACTACCATATAATAAGTTAAGTACTTATTGTGTGCCAGGCACTGTTCTAAGTTAATTCTTGTGAATTTTGAGAAAGGTTTTATTATACCTATTTTAGAGTTGAGTAAACTGAGGCTTAAGGAAGTTAAGCAAAGGCGCACCTTGGTAGCTCAGTCGGTTAAGCGTCAGACTCTTGATTTCGGCTCAGGTCACTGTCTCGGGGTTGTGAGATGGTGCCGCACGTCGGACTCTGTGCTGAGCGTGGAGCCCGTTTAAGATTCTCTCTCTTCCTCTCCTTCTGCCCCTCCCCCTCCACGTGTGTGCATGCAAGCTCTCTCTCTAAAAAAAAAAAAAAATCAAGCACAAGTAGCATGGCTTTTCATGGTAAGCTTAATTTGGTTTGAGTGACTCCATAACTTGTTCTCTTCGTGGTTATACTGAATGCCTTCCTCAGAATGATTCCTCAAGAAATCAAATGCTCTGTATAGAGTGCAACCACTTTGGAAAACTGGCAATATCTACTCAAGTTAAACATATGAACACTCCATGGCCCACCAGTTCCTTTCCTAGGAATATACCAATATCAAATGTGTACCAAAAGAGACCTATTAAACAGCTCAGAGCATTATCATAACCCCAAAACTGGAAACAACCCAAATGTTCATTGGCAGTAAAATGGGGAAATAATTGGTGATCTATTCATAAAATGGAATACTATACATCACTGAGAATGAACAATCTACTTCCAAATGCAGTAACATATAGGAATCTCATAAACATGATGCTAAGTGAAAGAAGCGAGACACACAAGAGTATGTGTTGTGCAAAAACAGGCAAAACTCATTTATGCTATCAAGTCAGGACAGTGGTTACCTTTAAAGGGGCCTACTGACTGGGAGGGGGCATAAATAGGGCTTCTGAGGAATTAATCATGTTCTGTTTCTTGGGCTTGGTGGTGGTTGCACATGTTATGTTCAGTTTGTGAAAATTCATTAAGCTGTACTATTATAATACATGCACTTCTCTATGTGTATTATACTTCAAAAAATGTAAAATGCAATGTATAAGTGTGGAGGGTCTTGTTTGTATGCATATGAGTATTTATAGGATACTTTATTTTTTTATGTATCAGTGACACGGTCCAAATGCTCATCAACAGTAGAATAGATAAATAAGCTATGGTTTATTCACACAACACTGCACAGTGTGAATGCACAATGGAATACTGTATAGTAAACCAAAATAAAGCATAGCATAGGATCAGATTTCTTACCAGGCAGAAAGAAAGATAAAGCTTTAACTTGAAATGGGCAGTTTGAATGAGCTCATAATTCATATCAGCAAAAGCTTAGGTGAATTCTTTGCCAAAAGATTGTAGTTGATAAAGAGTAAAGCTCAAGAAATAATTCCATAAGAGGTTGCTTGTTTAGTAGGGAAGACACTAAAGTGGTTCTGGAAAACACAAAGGAAAAAACTTACATCTGTGTTCAGGAATGAAATACTTAACACAGGAGAGCCTCTCCAGTTGTGCGATCTTTTATTCGAATCGATGATTAATACTCAAACTATATCTTGAACATTCAACCTTGACTAGTCAGAGAATACTATTACAGCTCAATGACTGAACTAAACTGAGCATTCCAAGCAGCAATAGCTGTCTTCGGTACCAGATTTTCTAAATTACTAAACTTTTATATCCCTCTGAAGTCTCACACTTTGCACTCTTCCAACAGGGCAATTATTAATACATCTTTCTTTTTTTTTTTTAAGATTTCATTTATTTATTTGACAAAGGCAGAGATAGCAAGAGCAGGAACACCAGCAGGGGCAGTGGGAGAGGGAGAAGCCGGCTTCCCGCCGAGCAGGGAGCCCAATGCGGGGATCGATCCGAGGACCCGGGGATCATGACCTGAGCCGAAGGCAGACGCTCAACGACTGAGCCACCCAGGCGCCCTTAATACATCCTTCTTGACATTACATACTAGTATATAATATTTGAATTTAATTTATTAGGAAGATTGATTTTTAACTCAAGGCAGCTTAAGGTTTATGTTTTGGTCGTTTATAACTTTCAGTTATTTAGCGTGTGTGTCTGCCCTGAGACCAAGGTAGAACTGAGCTGGTTAATGGATCTGTCTTCATGCCATTTCCAAATGAGCAAACAGGAGACTAACACATTTACTATCCCTTCTTTAACCCTCATAAGTTGTTTTTAATAATAAGTATTCCTGGGGAGAAGTGATAGCTTGCATTAACTGACACGTAGCCCATCAGCAAGGACATTGTTGTAACTTTGCCCCAATTATCACCTGCTGTTTTAATTTTTTTTTCTGCATTGGAGGTTGTTTTTCAAAGTGCAGTTTTAATGTTCAAAAAAGGTGGGGGGGCGGAAATGTGTGGTTCAACTTGCTAAACGTTGTGCCACTTTCCATAATATTGTGCAATAAACTTTGATCTTTACAGGTGCCTGTGATGAATGACACATGGATCAACCCGTAGTCTTCAGAGTCTGTCATGTGAAGCCAATGAAAGATATCTGCTAGTAACCAAATGATGATCATGTAAAAAGGTAGTTCTGCAAGTTTTAATGAACTTTAGATTTTCACAAAATTAACCAGTCTTTCTGTCCCTTCTCAAGGCAATGCCTTCTACTTGACATGATCAGATGGGAAAATTGATGGATAATCACAAGAAAAAACTTGAAATGACTTTTTAAAGGTACCAGTGGAAGACCTCTGTATTTATTACAAGTTATAACTCTGAGGAACAATTTCTGTATGGGATTTGGTAGATGACTTGTGATGAATTGTGATTTTGTCTTCATTTTTATTTGAAGAGCAATATAGATCTAAAAGGATCATATTCAGAATAGGTAACATCCGATATGAAAAAAACTATCAGTCCTTTAGAATTACATAAAGAATACAATAAATTATAGCCCAGACCTAGTTGCAAGCTTCTATTTATAAAACATAATAATTATCGGGGCGCCGGCTGGCTCGGAGGAGTATGTGACTCTTGATCTTAGGGTGGTGAGTTCGAGCCCCACGTTGGGTGTCAAGATTGCTTAATTAAATAAAAATTTTTAAAAATAAAAGTCATAACACATAATAATGATTTTAAAGTTCTGTGTTCAAGGCCTTTTGTGGTCTGGTCCCAGTTATATTATCAACCTCGTTTATTATAGCATATTTCTATGCATCCCAAGCTAAGCACTTGCATAGAAGACTTGCATGCCTTTGCCCATACTGATGCATCAGCCCAGAACCTCCTTTCCTGCCGTCTGAACTTGCTAAATGTCTCCTCACCCATCAAGACCCATTTATCCATCAAAGCCAATTCATCCAAAAGCTTCCTCTGATTGCTACTTCTATTCAGAATTAACAGCTTCTTCTCTACTTATGTGGCATTTTAATTTCTGTATATTTTAATTATCCTTATAGATTTCAAATTAATATAGTAAACAATCATGTACTCTCGCTGTGGTTTAAGAAATAAAATATTTCCAGGAGAACCTGGGTGGCTCAGTCAGTTAAGGATCTGAGCTCAGGTCTTGATCTCAGGGTCGTGAGTTCAAGCCCCTCATTGAGCCTACTTTAAAAAAATTCCAAAATACTGGAGTCCTCCTTTGTACCTCTTCTGAAATTGTATCCTTCCTCCTCCCACTTTCTTCCCCCCCCCAGGAGGATCATTATCCTAAATGCCATGATTATTATTTCATCCATTTCTCTCTATTTTTACTTTATTAGAAGTATTCCTAAACAATATATACTATTGCTTTGCATGTTTTAAAATATATACATGATATCAGTCTATATGTATTTTTCTAAAACTTGTTTTTTATATTCATTGTTTTATTTCTGAGAGTTGTTGATACATATAGTTCCTATGCATTCATTTTCACTTTTGCCTCTTTTAGTGTATGACTATTCCGTAACAGACTTATTTATATCTTGTCAATAGACATTTAGTGGTTTACATTTTTTTATTTTAATTCCAGTGTAGTTAATGTACAGTGTTCTATTGGTTTCAGGTGTACAATGTAGTGATTCAACACTTCCATGCCTCACCCAGTGCTCATCATGATGACTGCACTACTTTTTTTTTTAAGATTTTATGTATTTATTTGAGAGAGAGAGTGAGCACAAGTGGGGAGGAAAGGCAAAAGGAGAGGGAGAAGCAGACTCGCGCTGAGCAGGGAGCCCGACTCGGAAATCAATCCCAGGACCCCAGAATCATTGAGCCAAAGGCAGATGCTTAACCAACTCAGCCATGTAGGCACACTGATGACTGCTCTCCTTCACCCCCATCCCCTATTTCCCCAATCCCCCTACCCGCCTTCCCCCTGGTAACCATCTGTTTGTTTTCTGTATTTAAGAGTTTGTTCTTTGGTTTGTCTCTTTTTTCCCCTCCTTTGTTCGTTTTGTTTCTTAAATTCCACATATGAGTGAAATCACTGAATTATCTCGCTGAGCATAATACTCTCTAGCTCCATTCATGTTGTTGCAAATGGCAAGATTTCATTCTTTTTTATGGCTGAGTAATATTCCATTGTATGTATATACCTTTCCTTTATCCATTCATCAGTCGATGGACACTTGAGCTGTTTCTATAACTTGGCTATTCTAAATACTGCTACAATAAACATAGGGCCTTAGTGCTTTTGTATTTGGGGGGTAAATACCGAGTAGTGCAATTACTGGATCAGAGGGTAGTTCTATTTTTAATTTTTTGAGGAACCTCCATACTGTCTTCCACAGTGGCTGCACCAGCTTGCATTCCCACCAACCGTGCACGAGTGTTCCTTTTTCTCCACATCCTCGCCAACACTTGTTGTTTCTTGTGTTGTTGATTTTAGCCATTCTGATATGTGTGAGTTGATAACTCATTGTAGTTTTGATTTGCATTTCCCTAATGATGAGTGATATTGAACATCTTTTCATGTGTCTGTTGGCCATCTGGATGTCTTTGGAGTAAATGCCTGCTCACGTCTTTTGCTTATTTTGTTAAATCGGATTAGTTGTTGTTTGGGTGTTGAGTTTTACAAGTTCTTTATAAATTTTGGATAGTTACCCTTCATCAGATATGTCATTTGCAAATATCTTCTCACATTCAGTAGGTCATCTTTTAGTTTTGTTGGTGGTTTCCTTTGCTGTGGGGGAGCTTTTAATTTTGATGTAGTCCCAACAGTTTATTTTTGCTTCTGTTTCCCTTGCCTGAGGAGACATATCTAGAACGATGTTACTGGTCGTTTACAATTTTTTGTCATTATAAATAACACAGATGAACAAGGAGACAGGGCCCCCCTTTTTTTACACCACTGTTATATAACTTGTTCTTCTGTTATTTTTGTTATTATGTACACATCCTGTGACCTTTTCTCATCACTTGGTAAACTCTATAGGATAGGGAGTAGGCAGGCAATAGCAGCTCCTCAATAAAAGTTATCTGGCTTGATGATTTATCCTTCCTGTATTTGAGTTTAGATTTTGTAGACTCAGGCTGTTGTGTTTTAATTATAGTGCAGATGAAGACTTGAATTTTTGGATTTTCATATATTTACTTCAGAAATCCTAAAATGAAGCCTCAAGGGACGGTTGATTTTGTCAGACTTAGTATGAAAATGGGTTCCTATCAAGCATCTGTCCTTAAAAACGAGTTTGTAGAATTTCTGAGCTCCTCAATGCCTCTGTCAACTTTGGAACACAATAGAGTTTCTCTATGAAATTGTGATTATCCAGTGATCTCATTTTTCTTCAAGTGCCTTTATTCTTTTGAAAGATCCTAAAAAGAGGAAACAACATCTTCATATGCAATGAAAATTTCTTGATGTTCAGAACAAACAAACACATTGTTGTTTCAACTATTCAAATAAAGAATGTTGCCAAGGTTCTAGGATGGGCTCATATTATTAGGATTTTTCATGAAATTGTTGTTTAAATAGCAGGGTAACTGATAAGAAATGAGCTATGAGAAGAAAATATTGATAATTTAAACTGTTTATGTGTTGTCAATACAATTCTATCCTATGTATGTTTACCCCCAAAGTTTTAGTTCTTAAATTTAAAAGACGAATATTATATATACAAAGATATTTACAGCATTATCACTTATAATAGGGGAAAAAAAGAAAAACAACATAAGTGCCCTACAATTAAGGATAATTAAGTAACTTATAACATGGAATTTTATGGATTTATTAAAATTACATGTATGATTTCATAAGGATATTTATCTGTTAACTAAAAACAGAACTATACACACCTTGGGATGACAATTGCTTTCAGAACTGTTATATAGTCTGTATAAAGTGTGGAAGGAACACAAAAACATACTGTCACTTTATTTTAGTAGTAATATGGATGGAAATTTATTTTTAAACTGCTTTTCTATATGTTAAATTCATTCAGTTATAAATAAAGCTTTGTAAGTATCATATTTCTTTTTGAATAAGGTGTGTGTATTAGGTGACTGACTGTCCTGGCTTGCTTGGAACCAAAAGGTTTCCCAAGATAGAGGACATTCAGTGCTAAAACTTGGACCATCTTGTGCAAACTGGGACATTTGGTCACCCTATAATGTGTCTTTGATTGGTAGGAGAAGGTGGGAAGAAACTGTAATTTTATTTCAATTGTCAGGATATAAACTGGATACCAGTTTGATCACTAACTAGAAATTATTTATATTTGAAACTCTACTCTTCCATGTTGTGGCTAATCTTGTAAAATTGCATACAAAATCTTAAAGAGACAACCTTCTACTAATTGCATATTCACCTGGTATCTATTTCAACAAATGAAATTACTCTCAGCACACATTAATTGACATAATTACTGAAACACCAAAATCAGATTAGCCACTGTAGCTCAAAGAAAAAAAAAGAAAGGAAATCATTGCTCCAGCAAATTGTAAAAGTACTAAAAAGAGAAAGAAAGAAAGAAAAAGACTTGAGAAGGTTGTTCAACTTGTAGATAGTTTTTTAAATAAAGCCAGTAAAACATGGCTATTTCAATATTCATGCATGAGATAATTCTGGGTTCTTAACGGTATATTTTGGCTATATTGCAGCTTAAAAGTAAGTCTTTCTAATATCCTGCACTTTGTTGATTGTTCTTCTAATCTCTATTGTGTGTGTTTTAGTGGCTAGCACTCTTATTCAAAGACAAATTGTACCCACTATTATTATCTGTTTTCATAATTAACAATCATACAGTTATTCTAGAAGCCCAACAGCAGCAACAATGACATCTTTGTATCTGCAAAAAGCTTACTTTTCAAATTTCTGGCTCTTTTTCCTAAAACACTGACATCATAGTAAAACATTGTTCTGCCTGCTTTGGGTTCGAATCGCCTGGTAAATTAGAGAAACATGGAGATAACAACAAAAAAAAGACATATATTAGTACAATTCTGCAAAGCAAAAAAATCTCTGCTAGCACTTTGTCATTTCTGTGGCTTGAGTACATGGAATCTATTGTTTCATGGTCTTACTTCCTCGTTTCCTATGCCAGATTGTTCTTGCCACTTAAAATGTAATTTCTTGCACAACTCACCTTCCATGCTGTCTGTTCCAGTATCGTTCTATTATTAGAATACCTTTGCTTTCAAGGGTCTTTTATCAAAGCTCATTAGCATTCTTGATCATCATCATGATTATTGCCATTTTTATTTATTTTTGCTCGTCTGGGCAGAATGTTTTCTCTTTACTGCAACATTGTTTTGTTCTCTCTATCATTAATAACTAGTCTTACAGATTAGTATAGAATTCTGCTTTTTGTTGAAAATTAACTCCCATGAATCAGAGAAACATGAAGAAAACAAATGTAGACACATTGTGGTACATTTCTTCAAAATAAAAAGAGAGAGAGGCTCAGATTCTTTGTTACATCATATGGAATCAAGCACTTCACCACCTATAAAATCTTTTACAAACTTTTGC